ATGAAATCTGTCATAGTGACTTTTGGAAAACTTCTAGACTTCTAGAATTTTTATATATATCATAGTATATATATATATATAATTTTATCTCCAGAACCTTTTATTTAAGGTATACAAACTTTATGCATTTCATAAATACAACTTTAGGAACGTAATGATTCTTCCTACAATATCAGCCTTCCCACCCTTCTTCCTCCTCCCTCTCCTATCCCCATGCTTATTTTTTACTATAATCTATTTTCAATTAACTTAATATACAGAAGGTTAACTCTGTACTAAGTATACAGTTCAACAAATAGTATGGAAAAAGATCTTCCTCAACAGTTTTGATTTCTCTTTTGATTTCTTCAATGACCCATTGTTAATGCAGAAGCATGTTGTTCAATTTCCATGTGCTTATGTATCTTCTAGAGATTCTTGAGTTGTTGATTTCCAAGTTCATTCCATTGCGGTCAGAGAAGATGCATGGTATGATTGATTTTTTTTTTTTTTATTTGCTTAGATTAGTTTTATGGCCTTGCCTGTGGTCAGTCCTAGAGAAAGTTCCATACACTGGTGAGAAGAATGTGTATTCTGCAACCATAGGATGTAAAGTTATTTAGATATCTGTTAGGTCCATGTGGTCAATGGTGTTAACTCTGCTGTTTCCTTGCTGATTTTCTGTCTGGTTGATCTGTCCATTGCTGAAAGTGGGGTATTGAAGTCCTCCATTGTTGTTGGATGGGAGTCTATGTCTCTTATGATCCATTAACATTTCTTTTAAATAGTCAGGTGCCCTGTAATTAGGTGTGTATACATTCATTATAGTCACATCTTCCTGTTGAATTGATCCCATAATCATTGCATGGTACCCTTCTTTTGTCTCTTTTAACAGTTTTTTGTGTTAAAGTCTACTTTGTCCTGTATTAGGATGGCTATGCCAGCTCTTTTTTGGTTTCTGTTAGTATGGAATCTCTTTTTCCATCCTTTGAGTTTCATTCTGCATGTATATTTGTTGGTGAGATATGGTTTTTGTAGGCAACAAATAGATGGGTTTGATTTTTTTAAATCCATTCAGCTAGTCTGTATCTTTTTTTTTTTTTTTTTTTGGACAGGCAGAGTTAGAGAGAGACAGAGAGGAAGGTCCTCCTTTTTCCGTTGGTTCACCCCCCAAATGGCCACCACGGCTGGCGCGCTATGGCCGGCGTGCTGCGCCGATCCGAAGCCAGGAGCCAGGTGCCCCTTCCTGGTCTCCCATGCGGGTGCAGGGCCCAAGCACTTGGGCCATCCTCCACTGCCCTCCCAGGCCACAGCAGAGAGCTGGACTGGAAGAGGAGCAACCAAGGCAGAATCAGGTGCCCCAACTGGGACTAGAACCTGGGGTGCCAGCGCCTCAGGCAGAGGATTAGCCTAGCGAGCTGTGGTGCGGGACCAGTCTGTATCTTTTAACTGGAGCATTGAGGCTATTTACATTCAAGATGACTATTGATAAGTAGCAACTTGGCTCTGCCATTTTTCCATAAATATTCCTATTGTTTACTTTGGATTTTCTTTGTACTTTTACTGAGAGATTTTCTGCTTTCACATTCTTTCATAGTGATGACCATGTTTCCATCTGTGTCTAGCACATCCTTAAGCATCTTTTGTAAGGCTGGACGAGTGGTGACAAATTCTTTGAATTTCTGTTTGCTATAAAAAGGTTTTTTTTGTTGTTGTTAAAGATTTCTTTCTTTATTTGAAAAATCAGAGTTACACAGAGAGAGAAGGAGAGGCAGAGAGAAAGAGAAGTCTTCTATCCACTGGTTCACTCCCCAATTGGCCACAACGGCCAGAGCCACACCCATTCGGAGCTAGGAGCTTCTTCCGGGCCTGTCATGCAGGTGCAGGGGCCCAAGTACTTGGGCCACCTAGTACTGCTTTCCCAGGCCATAGCAGAGAGCTGGATTGGAAGTGGAGCAGCCAGGTCTCAAACCGGCACCCATATGGGATGCCAGCACTGTAGGCAGCGGCTTTACCTGCTGTACCACAGTGCCAGCCCTGGAATGTCTTTATTTCACTTTCATTCATAAATGAGAGCTTTGCAGGGTACAGCACTCTGGGTTGACAGTTGTGTGTGTGTGTGTGTGTGTGTGTGTTTTTAAGGGAAAGGGTTTATTGGGGAACACCCTACAGACCGGAGTGAAGGGGCGGCGAAGGAAAAAGAGAGAAAGAGAGTATAAGAAAGAAACAGAGAGGAGAGGAGCTAGCAGAGAGCAGCCAAGAGAAAAGAACCAAGAGCCAAGAGAGCACGTGTTCAGGAACAGGCCCTTTTAAAACTTCACCTGAGGGTGGGCGGGAAGCAGGAGCAGCGAATCCCATTAGGATGGGGGTGGAGCCTGGCTCAGGTAGCTGGGCCATGTGGCCACCTGGCTAAAACTGCCAGTTTCCTAACATTCCCCCCTTGAGTTTTTTGACAGTTTTTTTCTAAGACTTGGAATATATCTTGCCATTCTCTCCTAACCTGTAGGGTTTCTGATGAGAAGTCAGCTGTGAGTCTAATAAGAGATCATCTGAAAGTAACGTGGCATTTCTCTGGTCTGCATTTTAGAATCTTTTCTTTATGTTTTACTGTGGAGAGTATTTTTCAATGTGTTGTATTAAAGATCATTTCTGGTCATGTCTATTAGGGGTTCTGTGTGCTTCCTGTACTTGAACATCCCTTTCCAAATTAGGGAAGTTTTTGTAATTATTTCACTAAGAAAGCCTTCTAATCCGTTCTCTCTTTCCACACCTTAGGAAGCCCTAAGACTCATATATTGGGTCATTTGGTAGTGGAAGGCCACCACAGAACATACCAAACACTGGAGTAAAGGAAAGGGTTTATTAGGGGAAACCCAACAGACTGGGCAAAGAAGGAAAAGAGGGAGAAGGAGAGTGTAAGAGAGAGAACAAGAGACAGACAGAGAGAGAGCCGTGTGTTCAGGAACAGGTCCTCTTAAACCTTTGCTGGGGGGTGGGCAGGGAAATAGGAGCAGCAAATCCCACTAGGGTGAGGGTGGAGCTGACACTGGTGGTTGGGCCATGGGGTCACCTGGCTTCCAGCCTTGGTGGTGGGGACTAGAGCCTAGGATGGTGTTCAGGGTGTAGATCGCACCATAGATAAGACTACCGTTTTATTAACAGATAGTATCCCATAAGTCTCCAATGCTGTTTTTTAGTTTTCTAATTTTTTTTTTTTGATCTGACTGTAAAATTTTCAGATTTGTCTTCTGTCTCATGTATTCTTTCTTCTGCATCACTGAGTCTGTTGCTAAGGCTTTCCACTGTATTTTTAATTAGATCTCTTCTTTGTGTCCAATATTTCATTTTGATTTCTCTTTAAAAATCTCAATTTCATGGGAAAAATGTTCATTCATGTCATGTATGGATTTCTTTAATTTATGCATTTGCTTCTGATTACTTCTAAGTAATCCTACGATCAATTTTTTTGATTTCTGTTTCTGGCATTTCTTCAGTCTCTTCATTTTCACATTCTAGTGTTGAAGTATTGTGTTCCTTTGAGGGCATCATGTTGTCTTCCTTATTTTTGTTTCTTGAATTGTTGCATTTATTATTCAGCATTTGTGGAGATACTTGTTATATTTTTCTCCCTGTGATGGCTTTTATCTTTGAACTATGCCTCTGTAGATTGGTGGAGTGTCTGCTCTTTCAGTAAATACCCTGAGGCCTGTGCTGGGTGTGGCCAGGGAGCTCTATTCAGTGCTCCAGGGTGAGGGGAGTGTCCAAGCTGACACCCAAATTGGGCATGGTAAATTTTTTTTGTTTTTTAAATCAGATAGGAGTCTGCACTGTTATAGTCTCATGCTTACCTCTCTTCTCCAAGGAGAGCAATGCCTGGGTGCTAGCCCCAGTGGTATAATATTCATTCGCACTGCCACAAGAACCACACAAAGGATCCCTGCAGTCCTGGTGTGAGCATGGATCCTGCAGCGATGACCCTCAGCAGGAACCCTGAGCATATGGAGCTGCCCACAGTAGTCACTGTCCAAAGACACAGCCACACCCTGTGCCCTCACATGCAACCACAGTGTTTCACAGTCCCAGCACACAAGGCTTCCACAGTCACAAGCTTCCGGCCCCTAGTCAGTTCTCCCAGCTAGAATCAGGCACTGGGGCTGGCGCTGTGGCATAGCGAGTTAAGCCATCGCCTGCAGTGCTGGCATCCCACTGCTCCACTTCCAATCTAGCTCTCTGCTATAGCCTGGGAAAGCATTGGAAGATGGCCCAAGTCTTTGGGCCCTTGCACCCACGTGGGAGACCCAGAAGAAGATTCTGGCTCCTGGCTTCAGATCGGTGCAGCTCCAGCCGTTGCGGCCAGTTGGGGAGTAAACAGATGCAAGATCTCACTCGCTCTCTGCCTCTCCTTCTCTGTGTAACTCTGACTTTCAAATAAATAAATAAATCCTTAAAAAAAAAAAAAAAAAGGATCAGGCATCTCCTCTCTGCTGGTTGCTGGGCTCATGGACACGAGCTGGCACAGCTGTTGTGTGTGTTCAAAGTGGCGCTTGCCACCCCCACCCCTCACCCCCCATCTAGTTACAGGACACTGGTGCCAGGTGGCTGGGGAGAGAGAAGTGTGTCCCCTCTTTCCCCCTCTAGGTTGGCAGGTACACTGTCCCCCACAGGGTTCCAAAGCCAGACTCACACCAGACCCTTCTTGCAGCTTTATTGCCAGTGGCTTGGGCTGCTGCACTGTGATCTCACTTCACTCTCCAAAGCTGGTGCTGAGGCTCTTGGCTGCTGTGATCCTAAGTTCTATGTGTCCACACCCTCCACGTTTATCGACAATGTCCCTCTGATTTGCATGGAGCTTCCTCTGCCATTTTCTCCCTAACTCTTCCCTATGACACTCACCACACTTTTTTTTTTTAAATCTATCTTCCCCTAGATAGAGCAGTAAACTCTCTCCCTATTTTGCCATCTTGGTCAGAATTTTATATTTTTTAAGTAATGTGTTTTCTTTCTCACTTTTCATTTGTCAGCTGCTTGCCCGACTTGAAGGTAGAAGCTCCTTGAAAGAAATAGAGCCATACCTGTTTGCTGATGAAGATTCACCTGTGCATGGTAAAAACACAGCCTCAGATAAAAGTATAGTGTCATAAATCAAGTTTCATAAAATAAGTTTTTCCCACATGTTTGTATACATACATATACCCCTAGCAAGAAATTATGTAAGAGAAACAGGTCACAGAAAATTTTATCCATCCCTACTGTGTCAGATGATAAGCTTGGCTTATCTACAGTAACTCTTCAGAATTTGAGAACTTCAGAAAATTCATGGAAAAATGAAATTGAAAGATAAGTTTGTGCATTTTTTAAAATTTATTTTATCTCAAAGGTAGTTAGAAAGAATCTTCCATTTGCTGTTTGCTCCCCAAATGGCCACAACAGCTGGGGGGCTAGGCTGAACTGAAGCCAGGATCGGGGAACTCCTTCTGGGTCTCCCACATGGGTGACAGGGGCCCTATCACTTGGGCCATAATCTGCTGCTTTCCCAGGCACAGTAGTGGAGAACTGGATTGGAAGCAGAGCAGCCTAGACTTGAACCAGTGCTCATGTGGGATGCTGGCATTGCAGGTAGTGGCTTAATCCACTGTGCTACAACACTGGCTCCAAAGATAAGTTTATTTTGGTGTAAAATTTTGAAATCTGTGCAAGGTTTCTTCATTATATGCAGTTTATGTTAACTTTCTGAAGATCCCTTGTACATTTACTTTTCTCTTTTATCCCAGTACCCAATATTTATTTATAGAATTACAGGAACATTCTTAAGTGCTCATTTATTCTTTTAGTATTTCCTTTTTGTTTTTAATTATTTATTTATTAAATTATTTGAAATCAGAATTACAGAGAGAGAGAGGGAGAGACAGAGAGACACAGAGAGAGATCCCCTATCTGGTTCATTCCCCAAATGGCCACAATGACCAGGTCTAGTCCAGGCTGAGTTGAACCGGCACCCATATGGGATGCTGGCACTGCAGGCAGTGGCTTGACCTGCTATGCCACAGCGCTGGCCCCTATGTTTTTTTTGTTTTGTTTTGTTTTTAATTTTATTTTAAAAAGGCATAATGCAGGAAGAAAAAGAAGTAAGTCTGTCTTCCATCTACTGGTTTGCTCTCTAAATGCCCACACCAGCCAGGCATAGTCCAGGCCAAAACCAGAATCTCCCATGGGAGTGGCAGAAATTAAATACTTAGGCCATCACCTGCTGCCTCCCAAGTTTATTAGCAGCGAGATAGATTGGAAACAGGTGTGACTCCATCCCAGGCACTCCAACTTGGCATGTGGGCATCCCAAGCAACAGCTTAGCCCACTGTACCACAACGGCCACCCCTCTTTTGACTCATTGGTGTCTAGTAAAGCACAAAAGCTACAAGTTTTGGTGAAATCCATTTTTTTTTCTTTTATTGCTTATGCTTTGGTGTCACAGCTAACAAGCCATTGCAACGACAAGACTTAACAGCTTTTGCTTTTGCTGGATTGTGTTTTCATCCAATTTTTTGTGATTGGAGAATGGGCCTAGCATATGACTTATTCTTAGAGAATGTTTCATATACGCTTGAAAAGATTGTATATTCTCTTATGATTGGATCAAGTGTTCTCTGTGTCTCAGTTCTGGTTGAATTTCAGTATTATTCAAGTCCTATATTTCCTTGCTGATCTTCTGTTTAGTTCTACCCATTTTTTTAATTAATTAATTTATTTTTAAAGAAATACAAATTTCGTAAGTACAACTTTAGGAATATAGTTCTTCTTCCCACTATACCTGCCCTCCCACCCCTCCTCCACCTCCCGCTCCACTTCCCAGTCCCGTTTGCCATTAAGATTCATTTTCAGTTAACTTTGTACACAGAGTTCTATCTATTATTGAAAGTAGGATATTGCAGTCTTCAAGTATTATTGTTGAATTGTCTTTTTCCCTTTAATTCTGTCAGTTCATAATTCATATATTTTAGTCCTTCATATATTGTTGAGCGCATATAAATTTACTGTTACATATCTTTTTGCTGCTTGACCCATTTATTTATTTATTTATTTTTTTGACAGGCAGAGTGGACAGTGAGAGAGACAGAGAGAAAGGTCTTTGCCGTTGGTTCACCCTCCAATGGCCGCCACGGCCTGCGCGCTGCAGCCGGCGCACTGCGCTGATCCGATGGCAGGAGCCAGGTGCTTCTGGTCTCCCATGGGGTGCAGGGCCCAAGTACTTGGGCCATCCTCCACTGCACTCCCTGTCTACAGCAGAGAGCTGGCCTGAAAGAGGGGCAACCGGGACAGAATCCAGCGCCCCGACTGGGACTAGAACCCGGTGTGCTGGTGCCGCAAGGCGGAGGATTAGCCTAGTGAGCTGCGGCGCCGGCCTGACCCATTTATTATTGTAAAATATTTTAGTTACTTTTTCTCATAAGGATGACTACTTATTTAAAAAGAGAGAAAATAAAAAAAAATGGTGATGATTTTGAGAAATTGGCATCCTTGTGCAATGTTCAGATTGTAAAATGGTACAACCACAATGGAAGATGGCATTTAGGTTTCTCAAAATTTTAGAAATAGAAATATGGTCTAGTAATCCCTCTTCTGGGTATATATCCAGAATTGAAAGCAGGATCTTTAAGAGACACTTGCACACTCATATTCATCAGCTGCATAATTCCAAATAGACAAGTAGTTAAAACAATCCAGATGTCCATCAGTAGTTGAATATGTAAACAAAAATGTGGCAAATTCGTACAATGGAGTATTACTCAGCCTTGAAAAGGAAGGAAATCCTGTCACATGCTGAAACATGGAGGAAAATAAGGACATTAAGCTAAGTGAAGTAAGCCAGACACAAAAAGACAAACTGGGTGCGATACATGGTATCTAGAGTAGTTAAGTTCATAGAAACAAAGTAAAATGGTAGTTACCTGAAAGGAACTGGAGAGAGAGGGAGGAGGAGTTATTTCATAGATAAAGAGTTTCAGATGTGCAAAATGTTTTGGAAATCTGTTTCACAGCACTGTTAACTTATTTAACACTAATGACCTCTAAACATAAAAATGGTTAAGGTGTGGATGAGGTGGGCATTTAGCATAGCAGTTAAGATGGATTAAGCAGTTGGATTGCCTACATCCCATATTGGAAGACCTTGGTTTGAGTCCCAGCTCTGCTCCTGATCCCAGCTTCCTGCTAATGCAGACCTGGAAGGCAGCGGTAATGGCTCAGGTAATTGGATCCCTGCCATCAACGTGAAAGACCTGGATTGAGTTTCTGGCTCCCAGTTTTGGCCTGGCTTAGTCTTGGCTGTGTGGGCAATTGGGGAACTGAACCAGAAGGTAAGATACTTCTCTCTCTGTCTCTGTCTCTGTGTGTGTGCACATACACACGTTAACTTAAAATTTTTAATGGTTAAGAAGGTAAGTTTTATATATAATATATTTTTCACAATAAAAGAAGTCCTTTGACTCTAATAGTAAGTTTTGTCTTAAACATCTCTTTTGTCAGATATTAGTATAACCACATCAGCTCTCTTTGATGACTGTTTCCATAGTGTATCATTTAAAAAAAAAAAGATTTATTTATTTACTTGAAAGAGTTACAGAGAGGCAGAGAGAGAGAAAGAAGTCTTTCGTCTGCTGTTCTACTCCCCAGTTGACCACAGTAGCTGGAACTGGGCCAGTCAGATGCAGGGAGCCTAAAGCTTCTGGGTCTCCCACTCAGGTGCAGGGGTCCAAGGACTTGGGCCATTTACTGCTTTCCCAGGCCATAGCAGAGAGCCAGATTGGAAGTGGAGCAGCCGGGACTCAAACCAGCGCTCATATGGGATGCCGGCACTGCAGGCAATGGCTTTACTGACTATGCCATGGTGCCAGCCCCTATAAATTATGCTTTTGTAATGCTCATCAATTATATTTTGTATGCCCATCAACACATTTAATATTTTACTGAATTAAATGATTACTTAATAGTTATTTCTTAAATACTATAGATGACAAAGTTACAAATATTTATATTATGTTTAATTTTTAAAAAGGATTTATTTATTTGAAAGAGTGACAAGGAAAGAGAAACACACAAAGAGGGATATATTCTATCCTGTGATTCACTCTTCAAATGCTCATAATAACCAGGAATGAAGCCAAATCAAAGCCTGGAGCCAAGAACTGTATCCAGGTCTCCCACGTGGGTGGCAAGAACCCCAGTAATCAATAATAAGAGATAGGGGCCAACATTTGTGGCCTAGTGGGTAAAGCTGCCACCTGTCACGCTGGCATCCCGTATGGGCAGCAATTCAAGATCTGGCTGCTCCATTTCTGATCCAGTTCTCTGCTAATGTGCCTGAGAAAGCAGCAGAAAATGACCCAGGTTCTTGTGCCCCTGACTCTCATGTGGGAGATTCAGAAGAAGCTCCTGGCTCCTGGTTTCGGCTTTGGCCTGGCCCAGCCATTTGGGAAATGAACCAGCTGATGGAAGATCTCTATCTTTTCCTGTCTCTATAAGTCTGAGTTTCAATTAAATAAATAAATCTTTAAAAAATAAATATAACAAATTTTTGTCAAATATATTGGGCAAAAAACTGAACTGTCTTTATATTCTCTGTATAGGAAAGAATATTATTTAGGCAAGCTATATGAAACTGACATTAGTATGTTAAATGGGTTTGTGACACAAGTTCTACATTAAAATATTACAGAAACTTTCAAAAACCAATATGTTTAGTCACTAACAAAAGTGTTTACTTAAGGGTACAAAAATGACTAGTAAAACTAGTTTGTTTTTTTGATCAATAGCAGATACAAAACTGGGATTATAAGGATTATATATCAACAATATAAGTGGTCTATGAGAAATTGTTACAGGGAAACTTAAGTTGAAGAAATAAGAGATTTAGAGGTTACAGGATTCTCTAATGCTACTGTAAACATATTAAATGCATTTTTGGATAGTAGTTATGCAGTACCATGTATTAATTCATTACATCTTCAGACTGTACTGATTATAATGTGCAAATTCAACATATTTGTTATATAGTTAGTTGGTTGATACTAAGATGAAGTATTTTTTGGCTTTTCTTTCTTTTCCTAATT